CAGACTAGTTGAAAATAGTTACTACTGCTTGTGTTATTTTCCAAGAGTTAGCTTGTAGGTATTTGATTTGCTTCAAGGCTGATCACGAACTAATACCACTAACAGGACCACTGAAAACCAAGTAGTACTGGATAGTTGTTCGGCATTAGTTTGAGACTCTTCAGCAGTACACACTCATGATCCCTTTGAGTATCAAGCACAAGACCTTCAGGTTATAAGGTCAGCCCATTAGCCGTTCAGTCACAGGAACAGAACCCAGTGTGCCATGGATTCAGAATTTCGTCATTTCGCAATGTACAGCGCCACCGTCATCCGCAAGTACTTATCCTCATATTTGATCTGATGGATTCCAGCCGGTCACGACTGCTCACTAGAACTGGATACGACTTCTTTATGCAGTCAGTCTCTAGTGAGCATCAGATTGACTTTCAAAAGTTAGTTTGTAAGGATTTAATTTGGGGCCAGATGGTCAATGAGCTGGCCTCATACCTCGAAAGTCCTGGTTTAATGTTACTATTAATACGTAGTCAATCTTGACAGCCTTACTCAGTCTACTGTGATAATTTTGTGGTGAGAGCTGTCTGCAAGCCAAAACTGTAGACAACAATTTATGTCAATGTTTACGTCCCAAATCGGGGTCATGAGAGAAAACAATAACAAAGCTTAACCTTGAGGAACTCAACAACCAATCACAGCAGACTTAACGTGTGCAAATACGATTCGCAGATATATGGCTTAACTTTCTAAGAAACGGCCACAAGCAGCACAGAATAACCTACAGCGAGAAAACAACCAATCAGAAGACGTTGCTTCTCTGCTGGCAATAAAGAATAATAAGATACATAAAAATCTATGAATATCTGTTGATTTTCTCAATAAACGATCTGTTGCCTGGCCCTTGTCTTCTGTCGTTACAATTTAACCGTAAAATCTAATCTTTTAAAGCAGGACTGGTATGATTGACATTTTGGTGTTAAATTACCGGTTTTTACTTAATGTGTAATTTGAACTTAACAACCAGGTCGTTTTAATAAATCGATACTGTTTCAGACTGAATATGGTTCTGGTGGACTAGCTAGCGTATATATATATATATATATATATATATATTAGAATTTTTCATTTGTCAGTTAAAAATGAACTTAATACAATACAATTTATAATTTAAATGAACAATCTAGATTCGATAATAGTTACTTCCGTTGAGCAATCATAGATATAAGAACGCGATAATCCCTAAACGAGTGAACCGAGTCAAAGTGAGGAGTTCTCACCAGTTAACACTTTTCAGAAATGCTTGTATAAGCAGGATGTGAAGATATGACTCATCACAATGAACACTCAACTTTCAACTAATAGGTCAAGGATTCGAATCCCATCCCTCCTACTTCAGCCTGGACGACACAAACATCTCACATCAAATGCTGTTGATTGCTCGATACACGCAAAATATGTCCCAGCCAACTAGGTATAAGCAAATTTCTTTCCGTATAATTCATTGCAGTCACCTTAGAATAGTGCTACTTTCTACCTTAAAAACACACCGTAGGTTGGTATATGAATCTGGGTACAGCTAACCTTATATGTTTCAATAAATGTAACAGGTGTAAAATCCGAAGGATGAGGTGTATCACATGAGATGTAATACTATTATGGCGTGTGCTACTTACAGGTAGATGCAAGTAACAGGCAAGACTTAAGTATGGCCGACCAAGAGAATGACCAACAAAATAACCCTGAAAAAGCAATCAGATGAGTCGCATTCTACAAAACTTCATCCTAACCTTGTATTTCAATATTTTTTGGATAATTAGTCGGAACAACTATCTACACGGACAAATTGATTGGTTTCATATTGTTAACATCCCCCGGCTATATTCACAACATTGTGAATCATTCTTCTGATTTTGTCGATCGACTGGTCAGCATGTACACCAATCCCTCAGAACGATTCTAAGTGCACTTGATTTGAGCAATAAATGGATCACGAAACGACATGATACACAGTTATCTCGATGAATTCATATACGGAAATTTGTTTGAACTAACACTAAGAACACCAGTGAAAAACTGGGAGATATAAGGGACTGCCATCTAGCCTAATTATTTTACATTACTTAATTTGCTTTCGATAGAATCCCCTAATTAAAGAAGGTATTTGATTAGCAAAGGTTACTCGATTGGTCCTTCACTTGGGTCGCTATACTTTAGTCTAGTTCAAGTGACATTTAAAATGACGTCCATAGAAAAGTATTGATAATTTAAACCGATAGGAAAACCATTGAAGAAAAAAACGCGAAAAGGCAACAACCCTGAGAAGAACCTTGCTAAGCGACATACAAAAAATGAGCAAAAGATGCCTAATACCGAATGGATATTATTTGCAAATTGTGAAACCACTGTGTAATCCAGAGCTTTTTAATAGCCATTGTATTTTACTCCTAATATACATTAGATTTGCTCTCATCAGTCTTGTTACCTTTACTGCAAATAAATACGCTAGATTAATCAACTTGAAAGTTTTACTATTTCGATACACTATATCAAGTGGGATGGTGAATTATTTTCACACCACTAATAAAGTCTTCGTTATAACCTCAAGGTACTACTTACAACAAGGTGGACGTGTGGTTTAAGATGAAGGAAATATTTTTGACTGGTATGATAATCACATCATTTTACCAGTCATAAGCCATTGGAATACAACACACTGGTTGAATGATAAAAAATGATAGTGGAGAGAGCTGAGGTCTATATTACACACTACTAAAGATATTAGTCTACCTGTTTTAATATTGTCAATAAGTAAGGCGAAAACCAGATAACCGGTTGTAATTTGAACCCACGTTAGTGCCACTAGACTCAATGCAATAAGTATGACTTATTCTTTTTTTTCATTCCTTCACGTTCCCAGTGGAACATAAGGCTTCAAGCTAGTTTCTGTAGCAGTGTTTATTTTTACAGGATGGGGTTGCTAGCCTCATGCCCAACCTTTCCTCTTTACCAGCTTTTTTTATTACTGGCTTAGCGAGGTAAAGGAGTGCGTCGGCCGGGGATCGAACCCCGGACCACATGCATGGTCGGCGAGCATTCTACCGCTGAACCACAGACGCACATGACCCACTCACTATTGCACAAACTCACATTCCGTTACCTTAGTCGAAACAGCATTTGTGTAGTCAAATGGAAAATTGGTTGGAGGATTTCATCATGAGATGACATCGGTTAGAGAACCATTGGAAAACCTGCCAGAGAGAACTGGATAGCTGTTTCGTCCCAGCTTGGGACTCTTCATCAGTACGCACCCAAACTTGGACGAAACAGCTGTCCAGTACTCCCTGGCAGGTTTTCCAATAGTTCTCCAAACAACGTCAGCTCATGATGAAATCCGCCAACCAATCAAACAAAATCCTTACAAACCAATACTTGAAAATGGAAATTAATCAAATGTCTTCAAGTTAAAATTACACGTAATCATTTCCTTTCAACTCAAAAATCAAACTGATACCTCAGTACAGTTATTGTCTATTCCAGTTTAGGCTTCTGATGTTTTCTTTTTCTCGTGTAACATCCAACATCACAAACAAAAACTATTCATACTGCTCGAACTAGATTCAAAGCGGTAGTTCTGACTGAATTTTCCGGCTTAGAACTCTGAACATAAGGGCAGTAGTTTAAATTGCAACACAAATGGTAGTTTTAAGTACTAATGAAGTAGAAAAATTCATTTCACATTATTTTGTTTACTGGATATATCACACAGTAATGAATTACGAAATGGATGACGTATAGAACACAATTTATTGTTCAAAATCAGATTAATTGAAAAGGTACAACTACGAAGCCCAATTTTAACAGTTCTTGTTCTTCTGCTCCAACTGTCGCTAGGATAGTAAAACTTTCCGGATATCGGGGACAGATGATGAATCATTCCTATTGCATGTATTCTCGCCCGGCTAGTCAGATAAAGCTTCAGTTATCAATCTTCCTTCACCTTGCGATATTAGCAATGTCACTCTGTTACACCTTATTTTATGGTTGGTTGAAACTACATGTGGTGCTGTAATCGAGCTTTTTTTACAGATTTCTTGTTTGAGTATTGTCAACTAGGCTAGATTTTGTGCTTTGCAAATCGAATTGGTCCTGCCTTACTACTTTGGTTTCATGATTGTTGCAAAGTTTGTCCATTGGGATTCACAGAACAACCAACTTAACTAACGTTATTTGGTTTTCAAGTGAGTTCGTAGATTTGAATGCCATGTGAGATCAAATACACACTACGCGATATGAATTCAATAAAATAATACTACCTTATTGTCTGAGTTGTACACTATACAGAAAGCATTAACATTCTGTTTCATTGAAATCTCATGTTAACATTTCAACCCTGCTGTTTACTTGAAACAAAACACATTTGAAGGCGTATAGATGAGAAATCCACTTTTTCCCAAAATATCTTTGTGTCAAAGTTATAGCAGGATTCAAAAATGAAAAACTGGACCACAACTAACCAAATAAATCTCATCTATTATCAAATGATTGATAACAATGTGTAAAAGAAAGTAACTATGTACCCAAAAACACATTAATCGAGATGGAATCCATCGACTCATCGAATAAAGTAATATTTTTTTTATTCCTTCACGTTCCCAGTGGAACATAGGGCTTCAACCTATAGGCTTGAAGTTTCTGTGTTTATTTTTACAGGATGGGGTTGCTAGCCTCATGCCCAACCTTCCCTCTTTGCCAGTTCTATTACTGGCTTAGCGAGGTAAGGGAGTGAGTCGACCGGGGATCAAACCCCGGACCATGTGCATGGTGAGCGTCCTAACCGCCGCGCCACCAACGCACCATAACGAATATAATAATATATGCACTATCAATCATCTATACTATCTCTCACTGTTACCAAAACCGCCACACAAACTGAAAACCACGTGACAGTGTCAGACAATTAAAGCTTCAAAGTATAAATAAATCCCTGAAAACCACATTGTTCTTCATTTTTACTTCCTATTTACTTCACAGAAAGAGTATTCAATACGTTGATATTTGTACTTCTATTCAACGTTATAATCTACATTACTAAAATTGTTGCTGTTTTAAGAATGATAATACCAAATGTGTCCAGAAGGTAACGGGGTTTCAAAACAAATTACAATCTGATCTGCTGATCCACTTAGGTCTTTCGAAGTACATCACGATTAACATAAAATAGTACAAGCATCCTCACTGTTTACAAAATACGAGAACCTGAGAGACAGCAGCATCAAAACTGATTATCATTCGTTTAAATAAATTTATAAAAGGTGAACAACAGAGGACAAACATTGAAATGAAAGACAAAACTTTAATATTCTGTTTATTGTTGAATTCTCTAGGATAGCACGTAGTAGTAGTAGTAGTTGGATAGTAGAAAATTTTGGTGAGTAAACACACGCAAAAATGCATTAACGCACTTTAATTCGGCACTTTCACAACAATAATAGAAAATAATAAATCCTATAGGGAAAACTTTAGCTATAAAGAAGAAAAAAAACTAAACTCAGTACAGATATTCTTCTTCTGCTTTCTTTTTTGTTTATTCACGCGAACCAGAATCGGCCATAACTATTCGAGGTAGCTTAGAAGACGTGAATTCTCGTGTTCCATATGCACTGCCAGCCCGTACAGAACTCTTAGTTGTATCGTTTGTCAGTGAAGATGACTTCTGAGGATGTAGAGTGTTTCTGTACATATTGCATACATGTATATATCCTAAATATGTATCATTAGAAGAAGAACTGTAGTATGAGTGGCATGTTTTCATGAGAGCTGAGCGCAAAAAGCTTTTCACATTGGATTCAAGTGAAAGTATGCGTGAAAAAGTTGTTGTTGAACGGTCATCTTGTGACGGAAATAGGGAACAGTACTCCTTAACAGACTGAAATAAAAAAAAGTAGTCAGAAAAAAATTCCAACATTTAAATAAGTCAGAAATCTACAAAGTATGCTGAAGTAATTACAAAAAATGTATGAGTACTACCACGAATAGCCAATCTACTCCTGAATTCGCAAAAATCATACCTCTATGATGTCTAAATGAAGGGAAACGTCGATACTTTTACTCCCATAATGAGAACACAATGAGGATAACCCTAGAGAACGAACTATCTTTAGCTTATAAAATACACTAGACTTAGGAGAATTGATGGTTTTCTGCGATATAACCTTGCCGCTACTAGAGATTCTTTTGGAAGAAAAGAACAAGTATAAGTTTTTACACTCAAGGTATAACTTAAACAGCTCCTAACACTAGTCACCAAGAGAGTTTAATTTCAGTGTAGTAATAAATCGAACCACCAAAGAAGTAATTTATCTATAACAAGATTACAGATACCACATTTTGGAGGCATTTACTGACAACCTGGAGATCATATAAAGCGATACAACCTGCCTTAATGCTAGTGTACTATGAAAACTTGACACTATTCTTCTGAATGTGTATTCAAGAAGAAATTTGTTTACAATTTCCCCTACTTTCCTTCAAGACTTGCGTAACGAAACCGAAACTTTCTGAAATCCATTTTTATTAGTAGAAACTATTCGGTGACCAGTAATAATTTTATCATTTTTAACTAAACTGTTTTACATAGGACGATGTACACCTTCATTAAACAACAGATAGGCAAATTTTACAGATGAACCAGAAGATTAAAGGATAACGGATAGTATTCAAGCAAAATAGCTGCTCTGATAGGTCTATGCTCAAGAGCTGATAACAACAGATATAGGAAAAAATACTATACATGCTTGATTAGTATTTTAGGACAAAGCTGTTGATCACAATTTGAAAAGTGAATCATACTTATCAAAGTAGGCAGTATAGCATGTCCACTTTAGTACGTGGCTTTTAGCTATAGGGTTTAGGGTGAGTCTACTTAATAAGACTGAATCCAATTGCCAAGCATTGATATCTCATTTGCCTGGCCGCAACCTACAGTCATCGTGTGAGAATTGAGGATACTTGCACCAGCCGATGCTGAAATAGGTAGAATGTGGCACAAACCCCCTATTCACTGACTAAAAGTTGAATGCTTCAACTGGTGATTTATATATATATTCGTGGACTTCGCCGAAAATGAGGGGGCAGTATCATTAGCTCTCAATAAAAGTGTGCGTGGTACACGAGAAATCTGTTCCATGAAATGAAGTTTTAACTAGATTGATTGGCTGACAGGTTTCGACATAGAACTTTGCACAGAAATCCCAGTTGCCACACTCCATGTAGTACACAAAGGAAGACAAAAGAGATTTAAAAGAACAACAATAACCAGAAATGTGAGGAAGAAAGAATAGTAACATGGGAGAACACAACTGCTTAATGGATATGACACATCGCAGAAAGTGAGTGCATCTGCGCCAATGACAACGATTTCGAGCAATATCACCAATTGTCTCACCAATCAAACATTCTATTATATGAAATCAAGTTTGGTTCGACCACCACTAATCTTTCCATCGTGGTCTAAGTAGCTACATTGATCAAGGAAGGCGATGTTTAGGCATGTGTAACACATTAACCATAGCATCCATGTAGCTTCACAACTTCATCCATTCTTTCCTTCTTACCTAACACTAAGCCTAACTCATATTCTACAATTTATATATACGTTATGCCACACGAGTCTTGTATCTAGAGTCAGTTAGCTGTATTGCATTGTTTCAAACTAGAACAGTCTCAAAAATTGTCTATCGAGTCCTGTTTGTTTCGACTGTTAGAATCATGTTACTAACCTTTGGTTTAGGTCATCAATAGCTTTGTACCTGTATTACAGCTGACTGGATATTCGTCTAGATGAGTTTGCTGTAATCTTAAATACGCATCCAGCTATCATTTGAATAGTGTATTTGATTTTCAGTAATATAAGCACGATTGTTGTTAGAACGCTTTCTAAAAAACTTATCCTGTTTGAGTCCATCGGTAATTTGATAATGAAAGTCACCAGGTCAGGTAATGACTCTTCTTATGTTTGAAGTTAGTACTGACAAGAAACTAATGATTAGATGAACAGAACTGCTAAGGACTATCACTGTTGTCAGTTCATCGGCAGAGAGCTCCGTAGACGCCTCAAACATACTTCCCAGAGTGAAACAACCTCCCTACTTAGGCAATGAAATCGCCTGTTAGAATGACTATATCCGAGTTTTGCTCTTCTCAGCAGACTAAGCAGTTTTGTATAGGACTCATCCTTTATTTCGTCCAAGCTGCAGTCGATTGGAGAGTATGTGTAGAATATGAAAAGACATCGACGTAAAACGCAGTCCTTTATTCTTCTAACGGATCCGTTCGAACGAACAGCACACATGCGACTGTCTACTAGGAATAAATATATCATCATTATACTAAGATCCAGCAGAGTACGGATTTCCCTGCCCTAGTACTCCATGCTATTATCTACACCTGCGAATCCTGGCGAACTAGCCAAATAATTTCCTGACACCCACCCTGTTGGCCAGATGACGTTAAGTGAATAACCACATTTGGGTTTTTTATGCGTGTCTCCGAAATACAACACACATGTATGGCTTGAGTTGTCAGAGTTCTATCTGGTGATGCCTGCTGTTTGACTTGGCGAAGAGTCCTGACGTCAAATGCTCCATTATGAAGTTGGCAGCGTAGTTTTAAGAGACTACCGATAATTTTTTCAGGCTGACGTAATTATTGGTCATTGAGTGAAAAGATAGGGGATCTGCCTGTGGAAGTACTAACAGTAAGAGGAAAGTAAGGTGACGGTGACGTAGAAAAGGTGGGTGAGAGCTTCATGTGCTTTTGGTTTATGGGTGGTTGTTACATCCCAGTTTCACAGCAGTACAACTTTACCCACAGATCCCCCAGCATAGTGTAAACATCTTACACTATGCCGGTAACTGCTTTTAGACTAACCACTATCTTAGCAACCTTTCTAACTTGGTATAACCTGCAGGAACATTAGTTTTAGTCAGTGCAGCTTATTGAGTCATTGTGATATACAGTTACGACCACCACATCAAGACAGCAGCTAACAGTGAACGAATATCTGTTATAAATCAGTTACTGAATTTACATGTAAATACAACGGCAGAAGTCAGTGTTTGCATATTTCGTTTACCTTTTACCGAGAAGCAAGCATACAGTCAATGAAATTAGCAACTCAATTTCATAATACTTTTGAAAGCAAGGAGCTAACATTAACGCTGGTAAGACTTTCTAAGTAACCAAGAAAGTATTTATTAATACTCTACAAAACAGCTAGAAGGAAATTTACGTCATAGCCTGATGTTTGCATTTTTTAATTGGGCTCAGCTTTCGACTGTCTTACTGACAGTTAAAGCAACATGATATTTGATTTCTTCACTATTTTTCAGCAACTTTAATCCGCTTTTTATCCTTCGGATTTATTGTTATTTTTAAGGACACAATTGTCAGCTTGCAAGTAGCTACGTACGCCATGATTTACATCGAGTCGTAACGTTATGCGAAATACCCTTTAACTATTTCAGTTAGAGAGGCTGTGATTGCCCAGTCAGAGAATGCACCTGAGCAATGTGGGCAAAACGTGGGTTAAACGGGTAATTTTGATCGGCAAAGACGTGGGCAAAATGGGGTTGAAATGCTACATAGTTAACCCACTCTACCCATGTTGGCCACTTATACCTCGTTTGCCCGTGTCCCGAAGAATTTTGTTCTCCCACTTTATCTATGTTACAGCCCACTATGACCAATTTCGAACGGAAAACTGCCAAAGTTCTTACCCACATATTCCAGGTCCAAAAAATTCACCGATTGGGTGGTTAGTCCGCATATAAATTGACTAAGCGATTGGGCCACGTCTCTCTTACGCAAGTTCTGAGGCTCAAGTTGTGTTGTCTATCATCAAACAAAAGGTATGTCCCCGTTGCCTAGTGGACAGAACTGCAAGCAGTTGCTTTGTTACATACTGATTAGAAAGTGACAGTTTGGTCTGGAAACCTACACTGACACTTTCGGGCAAGTACTGTCACCTTGTTACATTCTACTGCATGCTTAAGTGAAACTGCATGTGGTGCTGCTACACTTCGCTAAATTCTATGTTGAAACTCAGCTGCAGCATAAGTGCGTAAACAAGCACTTGATTCATGTTTCTAGAAGTAATACATTTCAGTTCGAAATGTTAAAAACATAAAAACGACTGGGGTTTTTATACTGATGCAGAACTTATCCACAAGATAAGTTTTGTATGAGTATGGAAACAATGTTGGCTGTCCTAATATAAAAAGTTGAGTGCATCAATACAGAGTATTCTGCAGTAAAGTTCCTCATTGAACCTCGGCGCATGTTTCCACAATAACAACAAACTTACCACATACTTTTTATAAGAACCAAAGTTCTTCGATACAACATCAATCCGCTTGGCCTTAATGTCAATGATTGACTCTTCAACAACTGAAACCTGACCATTTGGAATAAATTTCAGCAACCAAAATGGAATTCTTCTTGATATTTTCTTAATTACTAACCGTTTGGTATACAACTTTCCGTCCGGTAAGAATTTCCTTTCCAAAACGTCTTCAGATAATACATGCTTCCTGAAAGCCACGAATGTATAATAAACGCATGCTTACGCATATGGATTTGGATAACGCTTCCAAAACAGAGATGCGACAAATTCCCAAGGGAATGATAAATGCTGCGTTACATATATGGGCATCAGGAGGAATAACGCACCTGTCTGAGTAGGCGCCGAAGACACTTCAATACTCAATATATCTGTATCATTCAACTTTTTATAACAGAAACAATGAATTGGAAGTTATTTAGTTCTTGTGTCAACAATTTTTTTCAAAAACGCTCTTGATGTAAACGGGCAGTGACTGCCTTACGGGTCCTGTCAAATTAAAGTAGTGCATTTTCACCTCTATCTCACATTTTGGAATACATTCAACCAAGACTGGTATCTTTGGAGAATCCAGTTGGCGGAATGAGTGAAATTCACTCAGACAAAACCATATTATCCAATCTGAGCATTAGTATATTAGGTCTACCTAGCCTGAAACGCTGCTGTTCTTCCCATTGTTATATACGTAGTGAAAATCTTCAAAAACAATATTTAACCAGGACTTTTTGGTCAGATACTGGAATTCTGTCAAGTCACCCAACCAGACGACGAGAAGTGGAGCGGAAAAAGCCTTAGGTAAGTTTTCTAATGTTTTGCTTAACAATTTCTGCACTGGTAGGCGATTCCCCAGAATTATTGGCCACAGCATTCATCACTGAACATCGGATGCTGACCCTTACTGTTTTAGTCGATTCGTTTAGCTGAAGGCTTACGGTCAAGCATCAACGCCTTTTGGCACGCCTTCTTGTTACGTTCATTCGTTCGTTCGTGCACGATCCCTAGCTAGTTAAGCAATCATCTCGCACTCCCATTCGGTCCTGAAATGTTATTCGTAATTTAGACGATCATTTCTTTTGTTTTGCTTTGCCTTCGGTTTACACTGAACGAATATTATAGAAGTTGTGGGTATAAGATTTTGCGCTAATATACTTCGTACTATCCGTGAATGTCAACACCCACAGTCTCTAAGTTCCCCTCCTCGTATTTTCATTATTATTACATTGTTAAAATAAGTAATTATGATAAGTCCCTAGTACCGCTTGAATATAATCGCTCTAAGGTGACTAGTGCTGTAGTGGATAGAACAGCAGAGCGTGAGAAAAGATTCTTTAGGTGAATCAAGAGATGTGGAGTTGTTTAAAATGCGAGCTCCAAAAGGTACATTCCCTATCTGTGTTTATCTTTCTAAAATGCGACGGAAGGAACTAAGAAGTGTTTCACCCTACCCGAACCTCAGTGATTGCGGGTCATCCTGTAGTGCACATTCCAATGTCAAAGACTTTGTTTCAACTTGTAATTGACTTTTGACAATAAGTTTACTTTGTTATTACATTACTGTACTCAAAATACAGCGCAATTGAGCACTTCCTCTGTAATGATCAAGTCTTTTACTTTTCGTTTTGTCGTCAGTACTTGCAGATTTGTTAGAGTGCTGAATTACTGGGCACACAGGTAAGTTGCGTGGTGAGGACTGGTTATTTGTGGCCAATCGATAGCACCACCAGTACCTCACAAACTTAGACATTATTGAAAGTGAGTCGGAGCCATAAGCACAAAAACAACAAAAAAGTGAATTATTACAAGGTGACAAATAGAATACTTGTAAGTTTGTAGTTCAGAATGAGCATGGACACTCTTAGAGACGAGGTCACTGGGCTCACCTCATATGCTTTTATCTCGCGCCATTAGCTGTTTTGTCAAAGACACATCTTCAAGTATTGGTTTGGTAGGGATTTTGTTTAATTGCATGGAGGATTTCATCATGAGCCTACATCAGTTAGAGAACCATTGGAAAACCTGTGAGTACTGGACAGCTGTTTCGTCCTAGTTTGGGACTCTTCATCAGTACGCGCCCACCGGGATTCGAACCCAGGACCTTCTGGTTACAAGGCGAGCCCGTAGACCATTGAGCCACTGGGACCCGATCCAATGGTCCTTGAATTCTAACTTCTGCCAATTCAGTGAATAAGAAAAGTCGTTGCAATATATATAAACAGGAAGCCTCGACCAACCTTGACCAATAATGCCACAGTCACCCTACTCCCAAGGTCAGTCTAGCGTTACATAATCACAGAAAGCTCCATGTCTCTGATTAGTGAGTTTTATTGACCTTCTCCATGCGAAATGAGATAAAAGTAACAGAAGATCTAGTCGGTCTCTATGGTCTCGAATATAGGGTACGATTGGGTTTCAATCGCTGCTGACTTAAACATACTCTCACCTAGAACCAAGCCGGGTCAAACCTACAGACGAGCTTTCTATGGAGTCGCTTAATGCTACCAAGACTGCAGGGCTCTATGAAACTGTCAACAACGACTTGCGAGGGTGACGGAGATGCTAAATCATCCCTATAGTGACCACCTGCTAACGGAGGTCGAATACACAGACTTACCGAAAGGTGGAGTCGGCCGCACACTAGTAATCTTGAGCTTAGCTATTCAAGGAAAACTAACTAACGACAACCATCTTGCTCGACGCCCTTATGTTAAAGTGAACTTTGAGATTATGGGAGAAGCTACTGACAAAAGACAACCCTTGCCTAGTTATGGATAAGCAGTGACAGTGGCCAAGGTAATTTCTTAAGAAGCCATCATCGATTTTGCCCCTATAGCAACGATGAGAGCCTGAAACAAATCTTAATGGAAAAAAGAGAGTCTTCTCCGCAGCAGGAGAAGAGAATGGCACAAGTGAAAGCACTTGGGGAGGCAGTCAGACCATACACCAAAAAACTGTCCTAAGAAATCGGCGTAATACCAAAGTTCTACCGTTTAAGACAAACCTAGTCAGGAAACTGCAAGACGACTCCAAAATGTGTACTGATTCTTGAATTAGGGAAGAAGCACACACCTATTGGTAATAATATTCGTACGACAGCTTTATTCTGGAAATTACTCTAAAATACAATGCAGAATTCTCAGAGTAATTTCTCGCGAAGTGTTCACTCCCCATGTGGAATCTTCATGCAGATATTCGTTGGCAACTTATGGTATTGCCCACTGCCATTCTGTCATACACACATCTTAGTTCTCCACGACATTTTTTCTCCAGTTTTTTTCGAAGTGCAAAGCTAATTAAAAATCCGTGTGAGTTCATACTGAAACCACAGGACACAACTAGAAGATTAAAACGACAAGAAACAGAGAAAAATAGATGCACTGTGCTGGATGGAAAGTTAGCTCATTGGTTTTAGCGAACCGCCATCAAGCTTTCTGAGTGTGGAGAACTTTTTGAAGGGCTCTCCAAACACTGTCCGGGGTATCGAATCAGATGTACTTCCACTGACTTTGCCCAGGTAGCCTATCGTTACGGGCGAAAAAACAATTTCTTAACTAGATATATGTTTGTAGGAAATCCGCACAAGCAGTCATTCCAAAATAAACTAGATACTGAATGAGTGCACACTGATCATTTCTTCAGTCTTATCCAGTTCCTGACACAGTTCCTCGACAAGATATTTCACTGTATCGTATGGGAAAGGTTACAGGAACCAGGTATGTTACTCCAGTAAAGACTTCAACATGGACAAATACAATTCTTAACTAGCCCACCTGAAGCTTTGTGAATGTGACGATGAAAAATAGTATCCAACAATAGTTCCCCCCACGCAATTTCTGCTTTAATTTGCTGTTTATCTACAGTTAAATTATTTCTCTTGTTCGTTTTGTTCTCAGGTGTTGATCAGGTGTTTTTACAGCTTCTTATCGTCAAAATATTCAAACAAATCAGCAACGAATATACTTGCAGAATAAAAATCTCTCTTATTAGTTAGGCTACTAACGGCCTGAAGCCAACAATTATGTTACTCGCAGGCTGCTGAAAGCTGAAGAAAAGCCACGGAATGAAAATAAGAGCTCATTTTTATGCTACTAACGTATCCATCCTTGCTTTGTTCAAACTAATTAAAGTAATGGTGTTGACAAATCTAAATAGGCTCACTAACCGAATACTTAAAATGACACGTTTTTCTCTTCCAAAGGAGTCCCGAATATTCTGACTGCTGGGCAAAGCTACTGGCATGATTTGCGTCGATCCCTCATTGATCTGTGGAAAATCAAGTTATCATTTATACAAACTACTCGGATTACCTGTAAGTTCATCATCTTGAGTGGAGTAGTCAACTTCAATTGCAAGAGACACCAAGTATGATATTAAAGTAGTAAAAAAATCACTGTCAGACTGCTAGTCACGGTCAGTCGTTCTGCTTTCACTTGATTTTCGGATGTCATTATGTTAACGCTCACGACTCATGGTCAGCTACATGCGTGTGTCATATCGGTCTCCGTAAACAACAGAAAGCGTGATTCTTAAGAAACTATTCCACATGCTAACACTGTTCGGCTTGTTTTTGTGTCACATAAAAGAAGATTATTACAATTATTATTGTTGCGTCATGCAGGGGAAGCCAATCTACCCCCAGGATAGCAACAGCACGATTCAAGTTAAAAAAGTAAGAAAATTACAGTTTTCCACTGATAGGCTTCAACGTAACAACGTTAATCAAAGGAAAAGGAAGACTTCAACAGATAAGTGCAAAATGTAATGGACAAGACTCCAGACAAGCTGAGAAGTCGAAATTCTAACGGATAATGTGAATTCAAAATTAGGAGCAGGCAACTTGGGGGAGAACTCAGAGTAAGTTCAGAGTCCCTTAAACAAGCGAATGAGAACCGAGGAATTTTCGCAGACTTCTGCGCCTTGAAGGACTTGATAACTGAAAGTACCATGTACAAGAGCAGTACCATGTACGAGGTGATACTTATTTCACAGGAATAACACACCAAAAATACAGTAGTCTCCACCTCGTCCTCAAGAAAGTGGAGATGCAGCCTGCCACACGCAGACAAGATCGAGATCTTCCGGAGCAAGTTGGATTCAGAGAAATAAGATCATCCGCGGATCAAACTGCAATGTTAAGCACTATAAAATAACGGAGTACAAAATAGCAGTCAAATCTATGCCCGAACTTCATCGGCTTTTAAAAGGCATTCCAAAATGTCGGCCATGATGTTATTTGAAGATTACTGTAACAATACGGATTGAAAAAACCATTATCAGCTTCATTCAAAAATTATATGAAGATACCACATATCAGTCGGCTCGTGGAGTTAAGCTCACAGAAGACGGCATATTATCACTGA